GATTCCAGAAGTGGTGATTGCAGTGTTGAAATATAGAAATGAGAATAAAAATATAAATTTAGGAACTACTTTCTTATGAAAAATGCTGTTAGGAAAGACACTTTATTAAATATCTGTAGAAAAAAGGTTTTTTTAGTCTTAACAATTAAAAAAATATATTTTAAATTTATCCAAATTTTCACCTCTTCAGGGAAAATAACTAGAGACCATATCTTTCCTCCTAATTATCCGATTTTAACGATTTTTTTGTTGTTTTTTTGGGAAATTCCATAAACTTTTAAAAAACCATTACATTATCTCCAAAAAAGTGTATACTTTTTGAGTTATTCGGAATTTATTTTACCATCGCTCGTAACTTTTTTTCCAGCTTTTTTTCGTTGAAGTAAGATAAATTTAAAGGGTGTCGAGAAAATGACTTTAGCGAAGTTTCATTGAAATCGGTACATTCGTTTAGGCGCTATAGTCTGTAGGAACACATGTTTTTCTGCATTTTTATTTTTTTCTCCTTTATTAATTTATCGAATTCTTTCAAAAGTTATATGTAGCATATTTTCGTAACTCTGAATAATGCGAAATAGTTAACTTTTTAAAATGAACCATATTAAAGGTACTTTAGAGGAAGACGCATATGAACATTGGGCATTTAAGCCCTGTAAAGTGACATCAACGGGGATAAGACCTAAATGATATTAAAGAACACTTAATTATACAATGATACACCGAGTTTGATCAAAATCGTTAGAGTCGTTTTTGAGAAAATTGTGAAAATGTGTTTCAGCGTTGATATAAAGTGGCACTTCCAGTTAGCCGATTTTAACGAAAAAGTTGCTGTCACATCCGGCCCATATACGAACCTTAAATACTTAATATCAGTTTCGTACTACTTTTCGTTTATGAGCTAGACTATTAACACACACACACACACACACACACACACACACACACACACACACAGACCATTTTGCGACACTTAGTTATTTGAACTAAGGGGACCTCAAAACATGTATTTCCGTTGAAAACTGAAATTCCAAAATTTTCACGATCGCTATACTTACCCTTACTATATATTACATATATACGTAAGTGAAAGTAAAAAAATTAAAAAATGTTCCAAAAAAAGAGGTTATTTAGCTGCTATAAGTTCTCCTGTGTTTTCGGTATGAAAGTATAGAGCACCATAGACGCTGACTACTGGGATCTCAGCCCTATCGATAAATTGCTATAGTATGAACTTCATAAAAATATCGATTGTGTATAATGCAATTCCATTACAAAAGACTGCATCTATCTACTAACGGGTACAGTAGAATTTGTTCAACGGTGTCCTATTTTGGATTTATAAACTCACTTAAACTGTAAAAAGAATCATATATTTAAATACTTTCCTCTTTTAGTATTTTGTGTAACCTAACACTATCGTCATCAGGAAGGGCTTGAAGCAATTCGATACCTGCCTGGGAAGGTAATTTTTCATATATTATATATTGTGTATAGGTATATATGGTATAGGCATATAGGATATATTCCAAACATTAGACGCCTCATCATATAGTTTGCCCTTTCCCCCAATAATTTTCATAAGTCGGTGCCTATGAAATGATTCCGCAAAAATAAGTGTTAATTTATTTAAAGTTATTAATTTAAAAACTAATAAAAAATAACAATTTATGAAATGTAATCTAACAGTTCCATTTTAAATGAAATTTCTTTTTTTTTTTTTTTTTGTGAGAAAATAATTACAATTTACTTTTTCTATAAAGTCTAAAGTTTTATTACCTCTCTCTAATAGAATTGCTTAGAAAGTAATTAACTATTAACTTCAACTCATAAAATGCCGTTAGAATGTACGTTATATTTCTATTACAATTTGTAATCGGCCCTCAACTAAAAGAAAAGAAACTAACACAGAGCGGCCTACTTCGTTAAGTAGTGAAAGTCTTAGCAAGTCTTGTACCTCGTAGGCTGCCTTAATAACTTGTTATCTTCCAAATTACATCGTCGTAAATGGTTTTAACACAGCCATCGCCATATTTAAATAGGAACTGTTTTATGTTAAATAGTCAATAAAGCAAATAATTACGTTCGTTGCTTTCTAAATATAACATACTCAAGAGCTCTAGAGTTTGTAATAAGATGGAAAAGACAAGTGTTGGAGGCAATCAAAAGTGTTAACAGAAAATTATTTTAATTTGTATATATTTATTCTGAAACTTGCTTTTTGTCGGTGGGTTAATAAATTAGAAAAAAATATAAATAATGGCATGAACAGACTTGTCGAGATATTACCCAGTGGTAGCACTGCCTAAATAATTCTAGGTAAGAAGATCACGAGTCCATCTTCTTTTCAGGCGCCTAGGAGGATTATCAGGAATTGAGAAAGTAGAAAGGCTGGAAAGTGGATTCGGATGGGACTGGAGTTTATCATGAAAGGATAGGTATCTCAGCGACATATGGAACATTGAGGTCTTTATGGATGGTTTGATTTGTGACGAAGTAAGGAGCATTAAGGATTTTACCTTGTAAGGATTGGCTACGATATGAATTCGATGGTTTGTTGGAGACCCAAAGCTCAACTCCGTATGTCCATATAGCTCTTTTTATGATCATATAGATGAGTGTTTGGTAATTAATTGAAAGTTTAGAGCGTTTGTCTAGTAAGTGTTGGAGCAGTCGGAAACGTCGAGCAGTTTTTTGTCGTTTCAGTCTAGTATGTGGATTCCAGGTGAGACGTATGTCCAAGTGTAGTCCTAGATAGCGGATTTGTTCAACGGGAATAAGAGGAGTATTATTGAAGGATATTGTAGGACAAGAAGTAATAAGTTTACGACGAGTAAAGGTGATTTTATAGGATTTAATGGAATTTATTTTTATTCTCCAATTTTGACACCATTCTTCAAAACTTGTGATTTGTGATTGGAGGATTTGAGGTACAATTAAAGGATTATTATAAACAGATAGCAAACATGTATCATCGGCGTACGTGGTGACGACCGTGTCGGGATGTCTTGAGGAATGCCTGCAGACTGAGCAAAGAGGAATGAATTAACAGTATTGTGATAGACTTTAAGGTATCTATCAGCAAGGTAGAAACGGATAATGAGGATATATGCAGGGGGTATGAATTTACGGAGTTTGTAGAGTAGTCTCGGTTGCCAGGCACTATCAAATGCGCAATTGAAAAATAAATTTTTGTTTTAAATTTTAAATCTTTGTTTTGTTTTTTTCGAAAATCACAAAAACATATTATAACTTAAGCATGACTACATCAATCGAAAAGATAACTAACAAGATTGCAAATATAAACTAAAAACAATTGAGGTGTCCTTCTCTCTGTATTTCTTATAAATATAAAGAAAAAGATATTCGAACTTCTAGAAATGAACAACTTTATTTGTTTTTTTTTAAAGTTTATTAAAGAAGGCTCTGCAAGGTTCGTTGAGGTTTCTTCATTGTGAAATAAAGAGATGAATTCAGAGAAAGAAATCTCTGAATTTAAGAGCTGTAGAGGAATCATGCTTCTTATTTAGTGTCGCCCAAAATCGGTCTTTGTCTTGCACTTTGCAAGACAACACCTACATACCAACACCACCTATAAGTTGCAAGACCAAGACTGGTAAAAAAAATCGATTTTTTGAGTAACAATTGAGGCAAAATAGTTACTAATACTTGACAATTTTAGTTACTATATGTAAAGAATTGGTGTAACCAATATGCTTTTGAATTTAACTCTTCTAATTTTTCAATCAGACTTAGTTAGGTTTCTCATATCCAAAAAATTACAGTAATATCTCTCTAGTAATAAGCTAATAAGTAACTGCAAGATTGTTATGAGAGTCTTGCGCAAGACCAAGACTCGTCTCGGTCTCGCATTTGGGCAATACTACTCTTACTACAAGTGATTTCTTGCAGAGGCTCGGGATCGGAAGAGGGCTGGTGGAGACAATGGCAGAGAATATTATTTTAGTCTCGTTGGGGATCCTTAATATATATATATATATATATATATATATATATATATATATATATATATATATATATATATATATATATATATATATATGTATATATGTATCTTTGCATTCTGTAAACTGTTTTCAATTTATTTGCTGTATATTAAAATGGTCTCACCTAACTGTTGTGTTTTGATTTTAAATAATTCTGTTGACTACTGAATGTACTGTGTGCTTTAATTACTTATTATAGTTGAACAACCGTGTGGTCTAAAACACACCTTAGTTTTTTTATTGGTCGGACTTTTAGTAGGCTATTTACCATATTACAGCTAAAGCATCAATTTATTATGATCGATATTATACATCTTTATTATTAAATAGCATGAACTATTCATAACTATAACTTATTAATTTTGAAGTTAAGTAGCAGTAACGGATCCAGGATTTAATTTTGGCGCGGGTCCTTATTTAATGTTTTAATTTTTTCTAAACGACTTCAACTTCACCCAGAAATATTGTTGCCCAAATGCGAGACTGACACGAGTCTTGGTCTTGTATTCTCAGTCTTAGTCTTGCGCAAGATTCTTGAAACAGACTTACAGTTACTTATTAGCTTATTACTATAGAAATATTACTGTAATTTTTTAGACAGGAGAAACCTAACTAAGCCCGAATGAAAAATTATAGGAGTTAAATGCAAAAGTATATTGCTTATACCAATTATTAACATACAGTAACTAATATTGTCGAGTATTAGTAACTATTTTGCCTTAATTTTTATTTTTTTAAATCGATTTTTTTTTTACCAGTCCTGGTCTTGGTCTTGCAACAGTTGGGCGGCCTTAAAGTCAGTCTTAGTACAAGACCAAGATCTACTTTGGGCAGCACTAGCCAGAAAGCTTCCCGTAGATCCGTAAAGTGTAATGTTATATTTAATGCAGGATAGAAGGAACAGATATGAAACAAAAAAATGTGAAAGCTATTACTTTATTCAATATTCCGTGAGAATTAACGGACATTACCCGAAAGTAGGGAAAAGAAGTATTTTTAATAATATCTCTTGGATGAGTGAGATTGGATGACCTCGCTGGAAAGTGCTTCCTTCCAGTGGACCGGAAACAGAGGGCCCCCTGCTGTGGATTTTCTCCAAAAGAAAAACAGCAGTTTTTCCAGCCGACTGGCCCCGCCTGCATAGGGAGGAGCCGCCGGGGAAATGCTCGCGCTTTTCGTTAACCTTTCCCGGATTTCCCTTAATAACGAGCCTCGATGATCTCTTCCTTTGTCCAGGCGGAACGTGCCTCGGATCATGGAGCTACTTCAATGGGCGACATCTTCACGAGGGTCGCGTCTTCTCGTTTCTATAGCGACACGGGCGCAGAAAGTTGCCCATCATAAGTGCCTTTAAAGAGAGTATAAAACGATCTCCAAACGTTCGCGTTAACTTTCGTTTTTTTTTCTATTGAAGAGCCTGATATTTTAATCCACTGTTAACTTATCCTAAAAGCATCAAACGCTGACTGTGTACCAATACCTGCCATCCTCTTCGAAAAATGAGATTAATTAACTTTCAAGACGTCCTAGACCATTATTTCTTATATTTTCCTATATTTGTTCCTTGTATATTTGTCTGCTTTGCTTTATTCTTGCTGAAAATCGCAACCGAAATAATGAGTGGCAAATTAATAAGGCCCCTCACGGTCCATTTAGTGTCCCAGGAACAAACAACCATTGGTCAATATACCTTAGGTTTGCCTTTTTAACTACTCTGATTTATCCCAAAACTTTTGTTTTATAGTTTTTTAAATTATTTTTTTCTGTTTTTAACTTATCTTGATCAAGGAATTGGATATTTAATGGGTGCCAGCTACTGGAGCCTCATAATGAAATGAAAAAATATTTTATTATTCTGGGACTTTTGTCCCTTTAGAACAAATTATAAGTACAGATTGTATGTCTGTGTGGTCACAATCAGAATATATATTTACAATTAGAGTCGTCTAAAAATATAAATACTGAAGAAGAGAAAGAAAAGAACAAGAAAATTGTACATATATATAAGAAACTAAAATAACCGAAATAAATTGAGGTAATCTCTGGGGGCGCTTAGATATTTCTCTTAGGTATATTTCGCAATCAGTCGGATTGAGAAAGGAGTAGGTGTTTAAAGCGGAGAAGTTTGAAAGAGGAAACTGATTGAGCCTGTCGAATATCAGCAGGGATGGAATTCCAGAGGGAGGCGGCTTGTATTGCAAAGAATTTGTCAAACGCAGCAGTTCGGTGAGGAGGAGGATAGAGGTCGGAAGTAGGAGATCTAGTGGGACGGGATTGGATGGAGTATTTGTATTGTAAGTTATGAAAAATATAGGAGGATCGATAAGTTCTAATGATCTGGTACAGAATAGTGGCTAGGAAGTACTGACGGCGATTGGATGGGTAGAACCACCTTAACTCGGTGTAATACTGGGTAATATGCGTATCCCTTAAGATTCCGAAGACAAGTCGTAATGTGCAATTCATTAGGCGTTTAAGTTTGGCCTCAAAATCTCCCGAGAGTCCACCGTACACCATATAGCCATAGTCGAAGTGGGGGAAAACAAGGGAGGAAACTAGGAGTTGACGGAACTTATATGGAAGGAGATAACGTGTATAATTGGACTGTTTTAGGGTAGAGATAGTGTGACGGGAAATTTGGGAGATGTGTGGTTTCCAGAACAGGGTTTGATCAAAAGTAACACCTAGGTTTTTAACGGTGGTGTGGAATAAGATAATGGGGACTTTTGCCAGTAATTGACAGGCCTGTAATCTCACAAATTAAAAGAGGTATACTCAATATAGCGGGTCTTAAAAATAGGACCATTCACAGCTGTCTTGTTAAAAAAAAAATCTAAATATTTGGATAAAGTATATAGCAAAAATAGGTAATTTTTCTGTTGTCATTTATAGAAATTCCAAATCAAACAATGTCAGCTAATGGTACAACAAAACTATTCTCTTAATTTTCATTTTTTTTTTAAATTTAGATGAATGTTTCATGGATTTGAAATATGCCTTGGTAAGGTTAGAAATAGATCTATAAGATTACACGTAAGTTCAAAGAAATTTCCTTAAGCATGTAAGCTACTGGTGCATTTACCCTAATACGTGCAACATCCATTTATAAAAAAAAAAATATTACATTAATACTACGTCTAGCTAAGTTTAAGTTATTATAATATAATTTGCGATTATTTTACTAACTTATCCCGAGACTGCAGAGACCTTGTAGATTTTGGGCTACAATAAAAAAAACACCATTTTGGACACAAGTCCTTTTTATGGACTAATATAGAGGAGGTAAGCATAATTTATGAGTTGAGCCAAATTTTGAGAAGCTTCCAAAAGGTCACTTTCTTCGGAGTTTCGTTTACATCAGGAAAATTTTGATTATATTAAATCTCCTATAAAAAAATAAAACTGATAAAATTAGAAAATATAAAAATAATTAGAAATATGAAAATTCGACACATCATTTATATATGTTGAGAAGAGTCATTACAAAACCGTTGAACCCTAAAGCCATAGAGATATCTGCATACAATGTAGCCGGAACATTTATACCTCCAGTTAAACACCGTGTTGTATCATCGGTGAGCCAATTTCGTCTAGGTTTCGTTGTTGAGAGCAATGACTTTAATGCTAAGGAAGATATCATAGGTGGTTGTATCCTGATTTTCAGTGGATGGATCTTTGCTAGCTTAAAATGACGTATTTTACATTCAAAGGAGTATTATTTTCAGAACGAGTGGTCTTCCCAAGATTGAAGAGACTTTCATCAATATTTCAAAATGAGAGTTATGATTTTCTTCTTCTTGATTTTCCGACAGCTGACCTGTAATCAAAATTATACATTAATTTTGTTTTCATTTTGATTGTTAAGGCAGGAAATATCTGAAATAAACTGAAATGGAATCCAATGATGATTTAGAAGTACTTTTTTTTATTTATTTGTTTAAATTAATTTATTATTTAATTAATTTTTTCCAGTTTGTTATATGGCTAAATGTAAGACCAACGGATGAAAATGGACCAGTGTACAGTGGCTCAAAGTGAAATTGATACACCCAGTTGAAAAATAGACAAAAGACTAAATGGTTACAGATATAAAAAAACAAAAAAAAAAGAGAAACTCTTCAACATATATATTTATATTTCATAGATTATTTTATAAAGTATTCTATGCTAGAAATTTCGAGCTTGACATGATCTGGTGGCTATGGAGGAGTTTTTATAACTTTGGAGCGGTTATAAAGTATCCATTCCTTAATTAACATGGCAGATTGTTTGGGGTCATTATTCTGATAAAAACAAAATTTATTTAGTAGACCAAATTTCCTACAACCTCTTTTAAAAATGTCTATGGAAACATGTTTATTCACTATACCATGAGAGTATTTCCACTATAAAGTGAAGATTTCCTACATCAGAAGCATGCATCCCCACACCAAAAAACCTAACATAAGAAAAAAACATAAACCATAACATAACATAAGTACAAGAAAAATAACATAAGGAAATAAGTATAATTCAATAATTTCTATCAATATTCACATTTATTATTTTGATTGTGAACCACTGTATATCAAATGCAAACAGAGCTTTCTTCTCCCTTTTAAAGGTATTGAAATCCCGAAAAATATCAAGAAATCTCAAATAAATAGTGTAACATGTTATGATAAAAAAATCTACTGAAAGGTTTGAGAGAAAAATCCCCCGCACGAAAAACGGAGCGATCAGATTATTAAAAAATGGAGGAGGAAGACCAATAAACAGACAAAAACTTACGAAATAAAATCCTACATATATATTAAATATATTTAATTTACGTTAAATATTATTAATGTAAGCAATAGTAGATTTCATAAATTAAATAAACAGTTAACTATAAGTAGTATGTAATTCTCCTTGCGTTCAAATCTTAGATACTGTTTAACATTTAAATGAAATCGAAGCTGATTTCTTCAATTCATGTCGGAAGCTATCTAAAATTTATTCAGTGGCTGTTTTTAATATTTATGTATTTATTTATTCTTGATAATGTTTAGTTCTTATGGTTTATTATAAACTTATTTTAAGAATTAAAATTATGAAATAGAAATTAATCCTATCGTAGTTAGATGTATCAAAATTCTATAAGATTTTATTGTAATAGTGAATTATTAAATTACCTTAAGGTAATGGAAGAAATCAACATTCTTCATCTATGATTTTCTTTTTTTTTTCATTTTTCCACGGTCAGAACATATTGAAAATACAAAAAAAAATTGAAGGAATGAATATGAGTATGAAAAATTTGGTTGAAAAAGTCAATCACCTACTCAATAGAAAACAAACAGTAAATAAAGTAATATAAAAGCATAGCAAATAATAGACGAAAAAACATAAATAATTTATAATACCTAAAATTAACGAAATGAATAAATTAAAATAGTTATAGAACAGATTTAGGACTTTGTAGCATAAAGAAAAAAAGTTCCAGAAAAGACACCAACACAGAGCTATGCACGGAAAAGTAAAAATAAGCATGAGAAAATGGCTTAATAGAATTTAGTTCTACGAAATTTGAAATAGGTAGCTTACACTCTTATGCAGATCAAGTGATTTAACCTATACAAATGCCAACACAGGTGTGAACATTAATAAAAGTGAGGTTAATTTTTCTTTGAAAATCTTTTTGACAAATTCTTAGACTAAAGTAACAGTGAAAACTTTTCTTTTTGTTGCATTCTGTTGTTGAAACCAATTAGCTCCAAGAAATAGGAACTCCACACCTCAGCGTAGCGGTTTCACCGCAAACGATGTCTGAGACGTCGATATCTGGCAGTTCTACAGAAAATGTGGACGCCTTAAGCTCAAACCAAACTACTGAAAATAATTGGGAACTCGTTACAGGAAGAAAACGCTCAATGGACAATAACAGAGACCCAAGAAAAGCTAAAAAGGTAAGCGAAGTTACAACAATAACCTCAAATAGCTTTGAAGTTTTAACTACCATTAGTGACGAGTCTGATGCTACCACTAAGCGACTGGTTTCTGTAAAACCGCCCCCTATCCACCTGAATGATGTACAGAACTACACCGAACTGGTCACATTTCTCCAAAATGTAGGAGGTTTGAACAGCTTTAACCTAAAATCCACATTGAGAGGAGTAACCGTATATCCTGAAAACTCTGACACATATAGACGTATAGTAGCTAACTTAAGACAGGTAGGTGCCGATTTCCATACCTATCAGTTAATAGAAGATAGAAATCCAAGAATCGTATTAAAA